GTAAGTACTACTGTCTTCAGAAAAAAAATACATCACAATTATTGAGCAGAGAGTAAACAAAAATAGTATGTTTTGGAAGAGTGGACTTCTTTGAATTATTTTATCTCTCAGATGGTAAGCAGAATAGATTCTGGGGAAACCTAATAGCCAGCAATATGTTAAATCCCAGTTACTCATTCTAGCTGTATGTATCAAAACTCGGTGAAGAAAATAGATGATGAACTGAAATAGCAAAGGATATTGCATTGAATAAATCAATTTCCACAGCTGCAGTCAAGTCTTCCAAGTAGAAATGACCATCCTCCAGTTGAGATATCAAACCCATCACCCATCTTTTCCCTGTTTGCCCAACCAGAGATTGAATTGTAGATATCTGCCAAATCATATACAAAATTTTAGAAGATGAGCACTCTATAGCATAAGAGTTACATTTATATAGGTGAGAGAGGAGGGGTACCTGACAGCTTCCGTAATCAGAAATATCAGTATCAAAAACTGGCCTAGAAAAATGGGGGTCACGAGAAAGCCTCTGAAACAACAAGAGAAACCTATCCCTGTATAATGTGGCTTTGGCGGATGCATCGCCGTGAATTGGAAGCTTCCCTGTATGTCTACAGAAAGAGAGAAAGAGAGAGAATTCCAAAATTATTATAACAGTCATTAGTCTCACCAGACTTTTATTTATGGAACTAATACATCCAAAAATCAATGACTTTTAATGACACCCATTGACAAGTTTAGTTCGTTCCAGCGTTGATTAAAAATATAAGTGAAAAAAGCCACAAGAACTATAAGACTGGCGTACATTTCCCTTTCGGAAAATAGCAAGACTTCATTTTTCACCAAGTTGGTTCAGGGCATCAGTACAATCTGGTGTGTGGATATTCTATTCACCTAATTCTTACTCTAAGAAACTAATTAAGGAAAAACTAACTGAAACAACAAATGTTCAAATTTTTAATCAAGCAAACACTAAGCTCATCGCCCTTGTGTACCTTACCCCAAAATTATAGCAAAGACATCCACTCATAAATACTACTTTCACAAATTACTAAAATGAGAGCAAAAAACAAAATAATAATAACATGTACTCGTGAAAATTCTTCTTGATAGGGTCGTAATGAAATTTGGGGAAATCAAATGCATGAATTATCCGAAGAGCAGAAGCTGCTGAACCATAATCACTACTTGTTGGGCTCTCCTCCACTGCAGCCTCGGCTTCCAGCAAAAGACTCACAACTCGGTGCACCGACTCCTTATCCAGTATCGAAGACTTCACTGCAACACAAAATTAATTCCAAACAAACGGTTTGAGAAAAATTAAATTTTGTTAATATATAAAGTAATTCAAAAATCCATGTTCGGTAAAAATAACTCAAAAAGTCAAGACTTTACGGGAGGAGTGGTGGAGCTCGTCGAGAAGGAGATCGAGGGCTTCGTCCTCTGCTTCCGGAAAGCGGCTAACAAATGAATGTATTTCGGAGCGGGCTTCCACTATTAGCGTGTAGCCTCTCATCTTGAATTATCTTTGCACTCTATTTCTCATTGCACCGCTCATTTCTCCTCAATTGAAATCTGCAGTANCTAACAAATGAATGTATTTCGGAGAGGGCTTCCACTTTTAGCGTGTAGCCTCTCATCTTGAATTTTCTTTGCACTCTATTTCTCATTGCACCGCTCATTTCTCCTCAATTGAAATCTGCAGTACACTGTTCACTCCGGGTGTGTGTATGAGAGTGAGGAAATTGGGGGAGATGCAGAAAACGGCGGGAGTTGGGAGATGCGTGAAAGGCTAAAACCTATTGATCATCGGCCGGAGGAGCTGTCCAGTCCTGAAATAGATTGGGTTTCAGTGTCCAATGGGCTGGGATTGAAGCAAAAATCCAAGGGAAAAAATTACAGTTCAGGTATAATCTATTCCAAATTTAAAAATCAGGTCCAAAGTTTAAAATTTTAAAAATCAGGTTTTTCTTCAATTAATTAATTATATTTTAGAATTATTATATTAAATTAAACATTTAACAGTAATATAATAAAATTAACCCACCCCACCCCGCTAGCTAAGTCTCAAACACTAGCTAGGTCACAGT